ATGCGGCTGCGAAACGACCGGAAGTCATTCATTTCCTATGGAGATTCGCAGACCGCATGCGAATGGGTCCGACCGAGTGCGGTGCGAAGAAAATCGTGTCCGTTGGTCATCCGCATGCGTTCAAAAATTTGAACTCCTGCGAAAAGCTACGGACGGTTCCTATCCGACAATTCCAGCGGAAGTTGATCGTTGCTATGGTACTGATAAACAAACCTGAATTATTAACTTTTAATAAAATAAATATTGATTTTATAACGATAAGTTGTGATGTCATTTTTTATTTTCATGACTTTCTAACGTTTATAAGGGCAGTTAATACAATTAAATTGAAGGTAGACATTGAACTATTGACCACTATATCACATTTTTTAGCCGACCTGACATGTCAACGTCCTGAGCAACTTTCCTCACGCAGCATAACCCTAATCAGAGAGATCATACAGAACTGACAGAATCAAACTTTAATCTCTCCGCCATTTTTGTTCTACCCGCGTCCGACGCTTTTCACTGTGTAGTACGACGTCCGTTGGGAACGTATTGCGTATTACGGAGCTGATTTCAACTGCCAGTGTGAAGGCGGCGTTACGGGGTTGGTACAGCATGGGGGTGAGTAATTAATGACTTAATTTTCATTTATAGGTGCACTAACCCTTTAATGTTCATAAATTCAATTAGGCTAAAAATAGCCTAACTGTTACCTTTATCTTGCGTTAATCAGCACCTGTATGTGCCCTTTAATGCTCCTGGCGGGATTGTAAGGAATTTATTTCATGCTCCTCAAGCTTTGCTATAAGATGGTGTATTTCAGGGGAAACAAAAAAAAAAACTAACAAAAGGATTGGATTCAGCTTTAGATGACATCTATTTTTGGTCACTATTTGTATTTACACCATGCAAATAAATTGAGCAAAAAAGCCTTGTCTGAGAAGCAAACAGTTTCTGCAGTGCCAAGAGCATTTCCTTTGAATTCACACGCTTAAGAAAACAGTTGGCTCTCTGAAACAGTTCAATAAGACACAGACACATGCCTGGATATGGGGGAGAAAATCAAAAGACAGTAGAGCTCTGAAAAAACTAGGCTGGGGAAAACAAGAGCAGCATAAAACATAGACTGTAAAAAATATGGACAAATGCGTCTGTGACGTCACTGTAGACTTTATGAAGAACGGGTTTGAGGCTGTTTAGTGGGAGGGGAGGGGAGGGGAGGGGAGGGGGGGGGTGCCAAATGTTTAAAATGTTTAAAAAGGATACAGAGGTGGTGTGATGTGTTGTGTCAGATCATGGCCGAGACGTCAAATTCCACTCGGCGCAGCCCGTTATCAGCTGTCAATCAAAGTTAACCGCCCTTATTTGTCATACATTTTATATCTAAATACGATCTTAACTAACGAGTTAGAAAAAAAAATTCACCCCCCTCACAGGTTCACCCCCCTCACAATAAAAGTCCATGAAACCAACCTGTAAAAGCAGGAATTTATGCTGTGAAAACGGACATTTTAACATGAGGTCTATGGATATTTGCTCCCTTGGGACCGGCCCCTAGCGGATTTTAGATGTATTGCAGTTTATCGCACTTCCGGGTAAGCTTCATTTTTCAGATTAGAATGTTTCCGCTTGGCATAAAACAGTCCCATGAAGTTTATCTGACTTACAATCCTAGACTTAAATCGTAGTAACATACAATTGATACCAATTTCTACTTGCTCTAACCTATAAAGATTACTTTCGTCACTATAGTCACGTTGATATAGTCACTTGGATGCTAGGTGGTGTTATGGTGTAATTTTCCATTGCACAATAGCTTACCCAACACAACTGCACAGGGATGTTTGATTCCAACCCAGATAGCAAACTGACATTGAATCAACGTGGAAATATGACATCGAAACAACGTTGATCTGACATTGTTTTGCTCATCGAATTAATGTTGAACCAACGTCAGACGCGTCATTCTTTCAAAACTAACGGAAAATCAACTTGAAATCAACGCGTTGTTTCAACGTTATGAAAGCAAACCAATTTTCGATTTTCATTTAGCTTTGAAGAATGCCGCGTCTGACGTTGGTTCAACGTTAATTCGATGAGCAAAATCAACGTTGTTTCAATGTCACGAGAGACGTCGTTTCCACGTTGATTCAATGTCAGTTTGCTGTCTGGGAAACTATTCAATTCATTTTTTTTTGTATTTGTACTTAAATTGAAAATAATGTGAGGGTTATCAGGTTAAATTTTAAGTGTTGTTCATTACACTAAACCAACAGGCCAAACAGATTTTCACTCTTTTTAAGTAATTAATAATTCATTATGATATTGATTACGGGATTCATAGCTTTACTGTATTGATACCAGGTGGTTAGAAATAAAAGATAACATCTTTTAACGAACTCTTTCAGGTCTTTTAGGCAACTGTACATTATTCAATGATGTTCTACTTGCTAGACCTTTTATACAGTAACTGTTCTTATTAAGTTCCTCTTTTTATCTGATGTAAAGATTTGCACTGCCAGATCATCCCTTGTACCGACCATAACTGATAAATTATTAATGTTGTTTAAAATATCCATCCTCATAGCAAGTAGATGAAACTGCAGCTGTCTTTCCTGTAAACAGCATTGATTCTAAAAGCAAGTCAAAATCTTGTATCACAGCGTGCAGCTCGCTTGCAGTGATCCAAAGCCTTTTTGTGTCACAATAAAAAAGACAGTGCTGATTCACTCGCGCTTTTTGTGAAATTACAGTCCTAGAGAAAGATTTCAAAATGATTGACTTGATCAGTTGATCTCTGTGGATTCAGTTCTCATTCAACACACATTACTATGCTGAAAGCAGAGATGTAACGTAACAAAGTAGAACTACTTAAGTGCTGTACTTAAGTACTAAAATGCTGTATCTGTACTCTACTAGAGTATTGTTTTTTTTCCCTCATACTTCTACTTTTACTTCAGTAGATATTTTTGATGAATTTAATGCTTTTACTTTGATATTTTTTTAATGTTCTGCTAGTTACTCGTTACAATTATAAAAATTGTACGAATCATTCGTTGCAAGTTGGCTTTCATGCTGCTTAAATCACACGCCAGTTTTATAGGGTAATGGTATTGATTGACACACACATTGACAACTAATGCAGGGCAGTGACATTTTTTTTTTTTTTTGGCGGTTCTACTCTGAATTACACCCAGGGCGAGACCCCCTTCGAGCGCCCAATCCACCCCCCCCCCCCCCCAAAAAAAAAAAACCCAAAAAAACAAAACAACAACAACCCAACAATAAAATCACATACCGTTCATTTGAAAAACACAGTTAATAGAATCCAGTTATTTTGCTAGTTTAATCTAACTTTAAAGAGAGGAAGTAACCATTAGCGCATTGGTTATTGCCTTAAATTATATGCATGGCACACTTTTAGTTATGGCTTGTTAAACAATATTTGTCACGAAATGGAGTTTTTAAAAGTAAAAGGGTCTGAGAGATACTTATTAAGTAACACAATACTTATCTCTTATCTCTTAAATAATTTTGAACAGCTCTCATATTAAACACTATCCAAACTGTTATAGACCTAAAATAGCTTTTGTAGCCCTATGTCACTCTTAAAATGTTAGAATGTTAGAAAATAGAAAATTGTACTTTGCATATAGGCTACTGTAAAAAGACAAAGTTGATCATTATGTAAATTATTTTCATTTCATGAATATAGTGACCAACATGATCACATACACAAAAAGCCTAATACACAATCAATTCACCAAGTTAATAACATTAAAGATTTGTTTTAAAGGAGTGTCTTTTATCTTACCTACTAAACTTAAAACAAGGTTAACACAAAAAGAGATTTTATAAAAATATATACCTCATATTTCAGCATTCAATCATCTCTATAAAAAGAATGAGTCAATAAAGATACATTCCTGACATTTATAATGCACAGTAGCTTATCTTTTATTATTAATAGTAAACTTTGGTCTGATTTTCCCATGGCTTTCGTTACTATTCAACCATGCACTGGGCTCTCCACAATGACAAAGAAGTTTTAGTAGCTAATGTATTTGCACCACAGAAAAACGCTTGCTGAAGCTCTGCTAAAAGATTTTTTTATGGAGAAGAGAAAAAACACCCAAGTGTTTGAGTGCACGAGCACTCCAATACTGAAAAGTTTATGAGCGCGCCTCCCGCGAGCGCATAATGAGCGCGCTTCCCGTGCGCCTAATCGCCTATTTGAAATAACGACCTCGAGCGCGCAAAAGACGCGATACGTGAACTAATCAAGAGACCCCCTTGACATCGCTTCTGTGCACGGCACCTTCTCAGCAATTAGGGGCACCATTGCCAATAATTGAATCGAAATGGTAAAAAAATAGAAAACCTTCGCGGCACAGAGGATTTTTTTAACTGCTCGTGCGTGCCGCCCCCCATGTGACATGAAGAAATGCCGCCCTGGGCGACTGCCCGGTTCGCCCGTGCCTAGAACCGCTACTGCCGCCAAAGCAAATTTGTATCCCGCCAAATTGCCTTATTTGATTGCTAGTTCAAACTTTTGACTGCTTTCTTTAATAATTACATGACACAATACTTGTACTTTTACTTTTAGTACTTAAGTAGTGAATTTTAAAATAAACTACTTGCAATACTTAAGTACAAAAAATGTTGAATACTTTAGTACTTAATGCCTGGTTCAGATTACACGATTTTTTTTGTCTGTTACGATAGTCACTGTGTCAGATTACGCGATTTTGACTCTTAAAATCTTGTCTTGTCGTGGACAAGAAACATGTCAGACTACACGTTGCTTCCTGACCAGTCATCGTGTGCCGTCTTTAACGACGCGCGTGATGTCATCGAGAAGGCGAAACTACTAGCGAGTGACTTCCGGAAACGAACGTAAACAAACAATGGATGAAGCGGCGAGTGTTGTATTGGCTGTCCTGTGTGCAGAAAAACGTAAAAAAAGAAAGAAAACCCGACAATGGACACGTTCCTGGATAGCTGGAAGAGAACAGTATGGGCTGTCAATCCTTCAAAGAGAACTTGAGGTAAAAAATATTGTTTTCTTATATATTTTTACTTTTAGCCAGTAGTACAAGTGCTAATAATGTTGCTAGTTTGCCACAACGATAACATATTACAAAAACAGACTGTTAAAATTTAAATTTAATTGTTCACCAATGTAATTAAATACTTCTAATGTTCAGAAGTAAACGTTTTTCGTTATGCAGTCACATGGGGTAATTTAGCCTTTAACATAAAGTTTCAGTTCAATGGTTTAATGCCTTTGATTGATTCATAACACCATAATCTATAGGCTTAATCTCAATTATAAAAATTGCAATACCATTATACGCAAAAATATTATTATTGAGAGTGAAAAAAAAACCCTCCTTCCCTTAATGTCTTTAAAGTCACCAACTGTACACAAATAAACATTTAAAGACATTAAACATTAAAGAGAAGGAGGTTGTTTTTTTTTTACTCTCACTAAAAATATTTTGTGTTGTAAACTATACTAGTATACAAATGTAAACTATGCTATCGACCATCTCTAATCAAAGCTATTAAATTATTAAAAACACTAACATCATCGTAAAGCTGCTTTGAAATTATATGTATTGTGAAAATCACATACATTTTAATTGGAGGTGATTATTTGTTGTCTTTGTAAACCAAACAACCAGACCATGTTTTTTTTTTTTGGTTTGTTTTCTATTTACACTGTAGGACAGTGACAGGAAGGGTTTTCGTGAACTGCTTAGGATGGATGTGGAGGATTTCAGCTACTTGCTTGGCAAAGTCAGACCATTTATCCAAAGAAGGGACACGAAACTGAGAAGAGCAATCAGTGCAAGAATGAGGCTGTCACTTACGCTACGATTTCTTGCTACCGGTAAAAAGTAAATTTTAAAAAAAAATCATATGACCTTGGTTTCACAGACAAAATGTAAGCTAGTCCCAGACAAAATGCAAGTTTGAGCTGTTTAAATTGAAAGGAATACTGCCCTACAAAGGCAAAGCGCAGTAACTACATATTTGGTCAAAAATGAGTTAAGCCGGGCTTAATGGGCTTTATGACGTGTTCTGTCTTGTGAAAAAATATCTGGTTTAAATTATGTCCCGCTTCGGAGATGCATTACCACATAATCTACCCATAACATGTTTGACTGGCTGGTATAAAAACTTTAAAGGCCTTTTTCTCCGTTTCTTTGTTTGCGTAGTTACTGCACTTTGCCTTTGTAGGGCAGAATAGCCTATGCACTTAAAATATATCAGTGACATTGTTTTGTCTCAAGATGCACACCAGTAATGTTTTTAAGGCAAGTTTATAAAAGCTACTCAAATGACCTAATTAATTTAATGCCTAATCTTTGCTTAATTAGCCATTTCTGTAAAATCAGGCCATGATGTATTATACACCTTATACACATGCTCCTTTCCACAGGAGAGACGTTTAGATCTCTGAGCTTCCAGTACCGGATCGGCCGTAGTACCATCAGTGAGATAGTAATGGAGACTTGTCAAGCCTTGTATGAAGTCTTAAAGGATGATCATTTAAAGGTAAGTAATTTGATGTAAATAACAGATGTACATTTCACAACAGTGGGTGGACACATAAAGAGAAGCCTTTACTGGAGCAGTCCCAAAACCAAGTGTTTTACCCAGAGAGTCAAAACCAGAGTAGATAATGAATCATTTTCTAAATTATAATTAGTGGACTTTAGGAAAAAAATTCTTTAAAAAAAAGGTATAACCTCTGTAAAAATGAGAGAACATTACATGTATTAATTATATATGGTGTTTCTTTTTTTTTCTCAGACTCCCACAACGGAGGCAGAGTGGAGAGAGGTGGCAATGGGATTTGAAAACAAATGGCAATTTCCTAATTGCTTAGGAGCCATAGATGGAAAGCACATCTACATCCAGCCACCTGCTAACTCTGGAAGTACTTACCACAATTACAAGTCCAGATTTTCTGTTGTACTCATGGCAGTAGTCGACGCAGATTACAGATTTATTTACGCAAATGTTGGCGTACAAGGAAGAGTGTCAGATGGAGGAATATTTGGCCAGTCAGACCTCCGAGCTGCCATGGACAGAGATCTGCTGAATGTCCCACCCCCAGAGCCACTACCAGGGAGTAACATATCTTTGCCCTATGCATTTATTGGTGATGAAGCTTTCCCTCTTCGAATCGACCTGATGAAGCCATACCCCTTCCGAAATCTGGACCATGGGCAGCGAATATTTAACTACAGGCTATCAAGGGCAAGGCGTACAGTTGAAAACGCATTTGGAATTTTGGCCAATAGACTCCGTGTTTTCCTTTCCAACATTGCACTGGAGCCTGAGAAAGTGACAACAGTTACACTAGCTGCACTCTGTGTGCACAACTTCCTGAGGAAGAAGGCGTCAGATGTGTACCTGCCTTCAGCCTTTGCAGATGTTGAAGATGACAATCACAACATTGTTCCTGGAGCTTGGAGAAGGGATGGAGAACTCCCCTCTGTGGCAGCAAGCAGTGCACGGAATGCCACAACCGCCGCCAAAAATCAGAGAGACAATTTAAAGGCATATTTTCTTTCACCTGCTGGATCTGTTTCCTGGCAGGAAAATATGATTTAAACACCAACTGGTTAAATCTTTTCATATTGACCACTATTGCAAGACGTATAGAACACTTGCTCAGAAAGACTTTTTTTTTGTACACTATACAAATTACTAGTACTAGTACAATATACAACCAACTGAAAGGTTGAAAACTTTAGTAAAATGTTAAGGGATAGTTCACCCAAAGAATTTCTTCTGTCATTAATTACTCACCCTCATGTCGTTCCAAAGCTGTAAAACCTTCATTCATCTTCAGAAAACAAATTAAGATACTTTTAAACAACTTAATTTGTGTTCCGAAGATGAACGAAGGGCTTGTGGGTTTGGAATGACATGAGGGTGAGTAATTAATGACAGAATAAATTTTTCTGGGTGAATTAACCCGTTAAAGTCTTAATTATATATGTGTAATTAAAAAATTAGTAGAATGTGTAACGGTTAAAGAATGTAAAATGATTTGTGTTTTAAAAATGCACAAGATACATTTTCTTTAGTAAAATCTTTTATTGAAATCAAATAACACTTTTCTTGACTCATTTCATAAGTCGTAAGTTTTGAACAAAGGGAAAATGACTCGCAAACATTAACCCTTTTAAAATGTGCAAACATTTGCAAAACAGCTTAAACATAAACTGCATTCAAAGTGCCAACAACAAACAGCATTTCAGACACAATGTGACTGCAGTTTAGCACCATCACACACACACAAAAAAGGGATCAATACTTGAACTTAGACCCCATTTATTTCCTGGTCATATGCCTCTTCTACTGCCCTGAGGTAGCTCACTGGAGGGGTTACAGAGGGTACATAAATGGATGTATTCTGGTAGGGTTGGTTCAAATTTGTGTGTCCCTGCCAAGGCGTTTGGGGGCGTAAAGGTCGCTCAGGATCAGGATGTAGTGCTAATCTGGCCTCATTTTCTTGTGCATCGTATAACATCATAAGGATGTTGCGACGTAGTCTCATCTTGGTCAGTGGGTCTTTAATTAGCTTAATCTCAGTAACTACCTGTTTGGCAAATGTTTGATCAACATCCGTACTGGCATTTACCAGAGTTTCAGATACATTTTTCAAAATGGTTACTTTCTCCAATTCAAGTTCATCTAATGATTTATCTCGTAACTTTTGTTTGGGTTTGTAATGTGCTCTTTCAGGAACCTGACGATGCTGGTGTGATGATGAGGCTTCAAGTGAGGTTTGTGGAGTTGATGGTCCAGATGTGTGGTGGGAGGTGGAGGTGGATGACTCGAACACATCCTCCTCTGTCTCCTGATCTTCTCCACCCTCATCTGTGATGCTGTGTTCCAAGTCATCCAACTACAATAAAACAAGTTGTGTGAAATATCAGGCATTAACAAGTAATGACTCAATACATGTTTTGAAAGCATATACTATAGAAAGCTCACACATGTATTTAAAAGTTAGAAAGGACTGTAACAACCTTTACCCCAAACTTACATTAAGTGTAGACTGAGACACGCGTTGTACAACAAAGGGCTGTAGAAACTGCAGGTTTTTTAAAATCCACTTCTGTCTGGAAGTTAATTCTTTGTCGCCGCTGCCACTCGGTTTTGAACGGAGAACTTTCCCATACTGTGTTCGGAGGGAAGCAGCTTTTGTTTGGACCTCACCGGCTGTAGGTAAGAAATCAGATTACAAATGTAAAATCTAGTCTCTGTAATTGTCAATCACACTACTCACTCGCACGCACACACACACACACACACTCACTCATACACACATACACATAACATACATAGTCTCAAACACACTCAAACTCAATCTCTTTTGTTCATCATACATGACATACGCGCGCACACACACACAGACAGACTTGCTCACGCACTCATACATAAATAATCACACACACACTCAAACTCACACACTCTCGTTCATTCACACATACATAGCCTACATACGCGCACGCACGCACACATACTCACTCGACTCGCTCAAGCACGCACTCATACACACGTACGCACATACATGAATGATTAGCTAGCCTAATGCTAATTTCAGTACTCACTGGGTTGCTGTAGTGTTTCCGCTATTGTTCGCCAGCATTTTTCTTTTTGAATTCTGTCGTGGTAGTCCCTCGATGACACATCATAAAGACAGGAGTGCTGTTGCCACAGCTCCACGAACCTTTCCTCCATGTCATAACTCCACCTAGCACCATCGTCTCTCTTTCGTTTCGCCATTTTTGAAAGTTGTGTACGAAAACGCTTCTGTGCTCCTATTGGTCAACCTCATACATGTGACGGAACCGGTCGTGGACGACCATTTAAAAAATTAAACATGCTAGTCTTTTTATCGTGATGTCGTGAAGCATCGCAGACGCGACGTATGTTGTCGCCCACTATGACACATTATACGAGATGATAAGATCGAATCTTGCGTCCCGACGCCTGTTGTCGTTTACGAATCCCCACGACACCCTACGTCAAAAGGATCGTGCCAAAATCGGCCTAAAAACGTGTAATCTGAACCAGGCATAAGTGTGGTGCTTAAAGAGCACTTCAACTTCTACTCAAGTCACTTTTTTGATTGAGCACTTGTACTTTTACTCAAGTCCGGGTTTCTAGTACTTTATACATCTCTGGCTGAAAGACAGTTTGCGGGAATTTTCCATATTATAAGAGCGGATCTTGAGGGAAAGAGTACATTTATGTGTAATACCCATAATCCCACACCAAAACTTAGCCCTGTTTTATGTCCGGAGAGTTCTCTGTAATTACCGCAACTTTTTGAAACTGAAGGCTCTTTAACTCCTGTGGCCTCATGGGATAGCAAAATTCCACACTTCTGAATCTCAGCAGATGTAAAGTGTCATTTAGATATAATTCGTCTACTCTATCATATATGCTGAGTATTCAGACATCCTATTAATTTGACAGACTGCTTTTTGCATACCATGTAGCAGGTATAAATGTGCATATGTCAGACATTTTGAGTTGTGGTGCTGTTGTGGGCCATGCATGGTCTGCACTTTCACTTCCTGATCTTCTTCTACCCATCATTTCCTGTCCTCTCTAACACAGTATTTGACTATATAATTTTCAAAAATTGTGAACTTTTTTACCTTTAATAAGGATTAATCTATATTTAACTTATAATTTATGCATTGCAGACTGATAACATTACTCAATTTGTGTATATTTCGCAGGGCACAGGTAAATGTGATATTTATTATGGGTTTATATGAGGATTGTTTGAAGTTCACTTACATTTTTTTTTTGTTTAAAGCTAATAAATGTTTAAAAAAAATGATAGCTTTCAATTACACTGAAATAGTTTTCATCGAGACAGTGGCAGTAATAGTATCAGTGAAACATTACATTTGCTACATTAATTTGGAGATTTACAGTGAAATTATTGCATTATAAAAGTGTTTTTAATTGCGATTAATTGCAGTGTGTGATTAATCTAGTTAATTTTTTAAGAGATTTACAGCACACAAAAAAAACATGTTATAGGCTAGGCTATATGGCCAGATATGACAGAAGCAACACATCGCCGCAGATGAGTAGTCAGCAAACCGACACAAATTAATCTAAATAAGTCGCAGACGCTCAACACATAATCATCTTCATTCAAATGTAGTGAGACTAAATGATCGGAGACACATTTATGTGACCAAGCGTACATGGAACCATTTTAACAAATCAGATAGCTAGCCGATAAACGCATGAAGTGACCATTTCCACAAAAAAAAGAAGAGCCAAATGATTAAGCAGCAGCTTGTCCCAGACATATAAGGCCAAAACTTGAAATGAGATTCAGGGGTGATGGATTTTGATACTTGTTGGCGCTTGTTAGCCACATCAAACGGGCCCTAACATGTGGTCATGCATTTTTTAGCCACAGGCCTCACTACTTAATGGGTGATGGAGACAGACTTCACAATTATCTCACTAACTCCAAGGCAGGTTAATCAATGCTGTTTATCAAATTAAGAACCTTTTCCAGAGGCCTAATAGGAGACACGACAGACCGGACTTTGATGGGTAGAGATTTGAAGACTCAAAGGCCTTACACCAGCTGGGGGACTTTCAGTAATTCCTGTCAAGAACTTTGAGTTTGACCTTCAAGTTAGCAAAAATGAGGCAGTATTATAAAACTCAGAAGGCAGCTTGAGAGGTTAGCATTATTAAAAGTGTCAACATTTAGTTTTCAAATAAAATCAAAGGGTTTAGAAGATTTTGGCAAAACATTGTGTAAAGTGCAGGCGTACTGCAGCAGAAAATTCCCAAATGGGAATAAGCCATATTGTATTTTCGGTGTCTTGAATTGTTTATGTACATGATTCATCACAGATTAATCTAAGATACATTATAATAATGAACACACAGGGACAAATTTAGATGATATGCCTGGATGGATGCAGTGCAGTCTGTATTTTGAAGGTATTCCCTTTTGAAATTGAGCTTGTTTTGGATGCAGTGGATGCATCTACCTCAAAGAAACAAAAAATCCATTAACAACAGCAGGGATTCCAACTTTCAGACTCACCCAATATTTGTCTAATTGTAGGAGAAGAGGCAAATGGGATGATTTTTGATGAGACTTGAGAAAATGTTGAGCGGGACTCTAACACACATCTTAGCAGGGGCGGATCGCCCATAGAGGGCGCTGGGGCGCCGCCCTCCCTCCGACCTGTCTGTCTGTTTTTTTAATATATATTATAATTTATCATTTTGAAAAATAATCTGTGTTAATTATATGCTAATAATGGTTTTACTTTGAAAAGTGTTTTGAACTCACCAGAATGATATTTGCATTCACTTTCGTTACTTTTATCATGTTGGTGTAGTAGTATAGCCAATAGGCTGTCTTCTCAGGGCGCCAGTTCGCTCAGCCCCACAGTGCTGGAATTTAAGCCAATGGTTCCCCGGTTGCTATGCAAAAAAGTGTATATTTCGCCAATCAGCGTCGTCAAATTTTATGGTTTGGGGGCGCTGAAAATATCGCCCACAGTATCAGATTAGGGGAGTGCACCGTGCACACGCACCACAGGACATTTTTTTACCTCAGATGAGAGCAGAATGGCAGCGCCAGTGACGTCGAGTGGAAATAATGTAAAGTTAGTCGTGGGAATTGACCTGTCTGTCTCTGTCACTCACTCACACACACACACACACACATACACACTGTTTCACACACATTTGATATTAAAATAGTTATAGGAATATTAATACCTGTGTGTTTGCTTTGTTTATTGATGTTTTTAAGTTCTGAGCTAGATTACTGTGTTGCATACTAGTTAAAATCAACTTTCTTCTCATACTTGGGTGTTACCCTCAAGAATGTTGTCCCATCCTCTCTTTCAGAGCCTTTTCTCTCTCTCTTTCTCTAGTATCAACGCATTGTTATCCATTATCCAATTGTCAATTTGTCAAAAATATGTAGTCTACAGCTGGGGATTGATTAAACTAGATTGTTGTATTACTTATTATTTTTTGTATTACCTATATTATAATTTATCAATATTATGCGTTTGCACTTTTTCTGTCAGCACACAGAGCATAATAAACATGCAACTTGTTCATCATCATTAACTGTCAAACTGTTATTATTATTATTGTATTATTTGACCATTGGTATTGACTGGTTTAAGTTATTTTATTGGTATAGGTAAGGGCATGGCCTAAGGACTAAAATGCACCAGAATGCAGGAAATCACATCTACTAAATTCAAAATTTTCTGGGGGGGGGACCCCTAGACCCCCCTCTTATTCAGCCCCCCCTCCAATATTTTTCACCAGCCGCCACTGCATCTTAGCATGTGTGCATGCGCATGTATGCGTGCATGTGTGTGTGTATGGAAAAAGGCTCCCGGAAAAAAAAAAAAAAAGAACCCAGTTTCACAAAAAAAAAAAAAGACTTGGGGTGTAACGGTTCACAAAATTCACGGTTCGGTTCGGTTCGATACGATACACTTGTGTCACGGTTCGGTACGTTTTCGATACAGCAAAAAGAAAGAAATGCCAGAGAGATGTCCTTGGTATAATTTTTTAAATTATACCTTTATTAAAACTAACATCATAAAGTATGATTTCTTTTTACTTTGAGCAATGATAGGGCCATACTTGACTTTTCTTATAAAACATATTATAAAACTTTTCTTATAAGCATATAAAACAAAACAGCTCCTCGGACAAAATTAAATGTAATATTGTAGTAGTTATAAACAAAGGTTTATTTTACTTCAGTTATTAACATTTGAGGGCAGCAATTGTATTCATAATGTTAAAATAAAACCGACTTAATGTTACTTGAAAGCATTATAGCCTACTATTCCTGCCAAACTTCCATGGTTACAGTTAGTGTTATACAGTAAATCCATGGTGATCTGTGGAAACTGATTAGTTCATTCATGGCACAATGTTTCTCCTGGTTTCCACGTCAGCGCAGTTTGATCCATTAATAATGGAGAAATGTGAATATTTCTCACTAGATCTTGCAGTTGTTATTACTTCAGTGGCGAATTGAAATGTTTTCCTTACTGGATTTGGCTGTGTAGTAACAATGCTGATGATCAAAATCGGCTCGCGCTGCATTGATCCAAACTGATAAACGGTCCGTCACCCAGACAATAACGAGTACCTCAGTTTCGTTCCGCTTACATTAAATTTTCCATTTGATGGTCACGCCAGGGTCTATGAACACGCTTGCGATCCGCCTACATTTGAAATAACGAAATGTTGGTCGGCAGGAAAAATGGTCCAACGTGTCACGGCTGCGGGTTCAGGCAGAAGGAACAGGCAGAGTCCAGATAAGCTCCAATACAAAAGGTTTATTCCCAAATAAACACAAAACAGGCAGGCGGAACACAGGGTAACATTAACATCGACCGACAAGGACAGACTGAATGGGAAGGAACTAAATACACACAGGAATCAAACTAAACGAGGTGAAAACAGGTGAAACAGATGAAAACAGGACGCTGAACGGGAGGCTGATGAGGGAGTGAGTTCAGGTGTAGAGACAAGAGGATCCTGGGAAGTGTAGTGCTGGAGACGCAGACAGGATGGTGCAGACGAAGACTGTGACAGAACTCCCCCCTCCCGGGAGGCGTGACCTCACGCCGCATAACAGAGGAAGGAGGGGGGACGAACTGGGGGCTGGGCGGGGCGTGGCCAGGGCGGAGCAGGCTGAGGGCGTGGCCAGGGCGGAGCAGGCTGAGGGCGAGACCAGGGCGGAGCAGGCTGAGGGCGTGGCCAGGGCGGAGCAGGCTGAGGGCG